TCAATCCGGGTCTCCTATGTGGGCGCCAGGGCCCGACTGCTTGAGCCACTAGCTGCCTCTCGGGGTGTGCACTACTACAAGGCTGCGGTGAGGAATGGAGCTGGGCTTTGAACCCAGGCACTGACCTGGCAGGCAGGGTCCCAAGCCCCAGACACCTGCCCCTCCATTATCAGTTTTCCTCTTCCTTTCAGCACAATGTCCTCAGGCAAGGGGCTCACTCAGACTGTTCCTTCTTTTTGAAGTCTGTGATACTCATGTGTTGGAGAACACAGAAAAAAAGGTATTTCTGAGAGAGGTAATTTGAAACTCAGTCTGTTTTTTTCTGGAGACCTAAACAGCTCAATAAATAAAATTATGATTGGGACCTGCGTGATGGCTCAATTAGCTAATCCTCCCCTTTGAAGCACGGGATCCCATATGGGCACTGGTTCATGTCCCGGCTGCTCTACTTCCCATCCAGCTTTCTGCTTACATGCTTGAGAAAACAGTAAAGGCAGGCCCAAGCCTTGGAACCACATGGGTGACTTTGAGGAGGCTCCCAGCCCTGGCTTCGGTTCTGCTCATCTCCAGCCATTGCAGCCATTTGGAGAACGAACCAGCAGATAGATTTTTGTTTCTGTCTCTCCTTGCTGTAAATTTGCTTTTCCAATAAAATAAAACCTTTTTAAAAATTATTTTGGGGCCCAGGGCATGGCCTAGCTGCTAAAGTCCTCGCCTTGAATGCACCGGGATCCCATATGGGTGCCAGTTTTAATCCCGGCAGCTCCACTTCCCATCCAACTCCCTGCTTGTGGCCTGGGAAAGCAGTCGAGGACAGCCCAAAGCCTTGGGACCCTGCACCCATGTGGGAGACCTGGAAAGAAATTCTTGGATCCTGGCTTCGGATCGGCATAGCATCGGCTGTTGTGCACATTTGGGGAGTGAATCATCAAATGGAAGATCTTCCTCTCTATCTCTCCTCCTCTCTACCTCTCCTCCTCTCTCTGACTTTCCAATAAATAAATAAATCTTTAAAAAATTTTTTGTGGGGCCCGGTGTGGTGGCCTAGTGGCTAAAGTCCTCACCTTGAACACACCAACATCCCATATGGGCATCAGTTCTAATCCCAGTCCAAAGCCTCAGGACCCTGCACCCGCATGGGAGACTTAGAAGAAGCTCCTGGCTCCTGGCTTTGGATTGGCTCAACTGCAGCTGTTGTGGCCACTTGGGGAGTGAATCATCAGATGGAAGATCTTCCTCTCTGTCTCTCCTCCTCTCTGTATATCTGATTTTGCAATAAAAACAAATCTTTAAAAAATTGTATTATGATAACTGAAAAAGTCAACTGAGAATCTCTAATGCCACTTTATAATTTACACTACCTGAGTTTGGAAAGAAATCAAGCAACACATGATGGCCATTGGGTATGGATTCCGTCATCCTCTGCCTGAGAAACCTTCTCTTCATAATATAACAAATAGCTTCTTGGTTCTAGACTGTATATCAGGAACAGTCGGAAATTTTGATATCTTCATCTCCAATCTTTTTTTTTAAGAGATTTATTTGAAAGACAGAATTACGGAGAGAATGAAGGAGAGAGTCACCATTTGCTGTTTCACTACCCCAGTGGCTGCAGTGACAGGAGCTGGGCCAATTTAAAGCCAAGAGCCAGGAGCTGCATCTAGATGTCCCACATGGGTGCAGGGGCCCAAACACTTGGGTCACCATTCACTGTTTTCCTAGGTGCTTTAGCAGGGAGCTGGATTGGAAGTGGGGCTGCCAGGATTCAAGCCCATGCCCATGTGGGATGCTGGCCCTCACCTCCAATGTTAACTCTACAATATCTGCCAAGCACATTTGTTTTATGTAACTGGTCTTTCTTCATTAAACACATACTGGATAGTGAAGTAGCTCTGAGCTTCCCTCATCTTCCAGTTCCCATGTATGTCAAGTTTTGGGTTCTGTCCACTGGACTTACTCTTGTTTACAATCCCCTGCCCAGTTAGAGCAGGCCAGATGCTTTTGTCACTGGATGCTGATCTGCAAAGTGGCTCTTAAAGGCCACTGCAAAGCTGGCCAAGCCTGGGAGTCTACCCAACCAGCCAGAGGCAATCTCAGAAACAGGTTCATTGGGCCTGGTACGATGGATCAAGGCTAAATCATTGCCTCCCATATGGGTGCCAGTTTGTATCCCAGCTGCTCCAGTTCCCATCCAGTTCCCTGCTCGTGGCCTGGGAAAGCAATAGAGGGTGGCCCAATGCCTTGGGACCCTGTACCCACATGGGAGACCCAGAGAAGGCTCATGGCTCCTGGCTTCAGATCAGTTCAAGCCGCTTGGGGAGTGAATCAGCTGATGGACAATCTTTCTTTCTGTTCCTCCTTATCTCTATAAATCTCTCCAATAATAATAAAACAAATCTGAAAAAAAAATGGATTCATCTTCACCCTACTCTCGAGAGCCCGTCGTGTTGCAGGATAAGCCCTTGTGTGTGCACTGCCTCAAGGTCTCAGATGGGGCCCCATGTCCAAGCCCTGCTTCCTTTTTGGCTTGTGCCACCTCCCACATGGCCACCTCCTCTTTTGGAGAGCACTTAACTGTCTACCATACAATTTGTTCTTGATTACACACTCTCAAGTGTTACAGCAGTTATGTCACAGTGTCAGCCTTGCCTTCACCCATAGAAACTGCTGGAAAGGTACTTATTGACAGCAGCCCCTGGCACCATGCCTTACCCGGAGCAGGCACTCAGCCCATGAATGTGTGGCTTTCTATCCAGTCTCATTTTGTGAGAATGATGAGCAGATGCAAGCAGCCAAGTCAGTGCATGCCAACTCCGGTTTCCCTGAGGGGTTCTCCAAGGCAGTGACATCAGTGGTGTGTGTTGTGGGGCTGCTATGGCCAGTGCAGAAGCCCCCTGACCTCTTGTGATCTTTGCAAATTCACTTGCCTTCTGTGTTCTCTACCCTTCATTCCTCCACAGCACCCTTCTTTGCGTTCAATTTGAGGCATTTGCAAAAAGAACATTGTCCTCCCGCCTCCTAGTGGCAGGCTACAAATGATGAAATCTGATTGACTGAGGGACAGATGAATGGATGAACCACTGAGCTAGCAGGCAGGATGGGTAGGGGAAACAAAAGAGTTGTATATGCCTAGGAGTGCACTGGGAAGACCTCAGACAGAGGACAGAGGGCTCTATGTGCTAAGGGATTAGGAACCCAATGAGAAGAGCCAGCGCAATGGCTCAGTTGGTTAATCTTCCCCTTAAAAGCACCAGGATTTCTCTCTCTCCTTTCTGTAACTCTGCCTTTCCAATAAAAATAGGGCTCAATGCAGAAGCCTAGCAGCTGAAGTCCTTGCCTTGAATGTGCCAGGATCCCATATGGGTACCAGTTCATATCACAACAGTCCTGCTTCTTTCCCATCCAGCTCCTTTCTTGTGGCTTGGGAAAGCAGTCCAGGATGGCCCAAAGCCTTGGGACCCTGCACCCATGTGGGAGACCTGGAAGAAGCTTCTGGCTCCTGGCTTCAGATTGGCTCAGCTCCGACCATTGTGGCTACTTGAGGAGTGAACCATCAGACAGAAGATCTTCCTCTCTGTCTCTCCTCCTCTCTGTATATCTGACTTTAGAATAAAAATAAATCTTTAAAATAACAAAATGTTAAAAATCTAACCCAATGAGAGTCATTGACATTACAGGGTTAAAAGTTTTCAAAATAATATTTAAAAAATGCAGACCTTGGACTCTATTAATGATCATCTGATTGAATCATAGCAAACAGGGTGACTCTCCAATCTTCTGCATACACACGTATGTCTGCATGCCTGTGGTTGCTGGGTCGTTCGTTTTTGAATGTGTTCAATGTTTTTTCTCCACTTACGTTAGAGGGCCACTACTTCTCTCAATTGAACAAAATTTATGGACTCTCACCATTAGCATTCTTCACCCTTGAACTTGAAGGCAACTTTAAAGACTGGGAGAGCTTTCTGCTCCCATCCAGACTGTCTCGCACTTGTGGCTCACCAGGGGAAGCCTTACCATCTCAATGCCCAGGCCGTAACCCTAGTCCATTGTACATCAGCAGTACCTTTTTTTTTTTTTTAAAGAAAAACATTTTTAAATAGCACACATGCATATGTTTGGTTTTTGTCTTACATTTTGTTTGGCATTGTGTTATTTTTAAGATTTCCCAAATGATTTTCTTGTGCGACTGTGGCTGAAGCCCATGACACTTCTCCCCTCCCCTGACCATGCTGATAAATCTAATCAAAGACTCACGTGCAAATTGGAGGGTTTTGTGGTGCTAGAGTCAGATTCAAGGCCAGGCCCATTCGGATCCCTCCCCATCATCTCCGTCTTCTTCACTCAGTCCTGTCCCAGCAATCCTGAAGGACTGGCGGGCTGCATCCGCAAGAATCGCAGCCCAGGGGAGCTGGTTACACGACCATTTGACTCCCAGGAGTGGGAGTCATTTGCTCCCACTCCTAAACTGAGCCACTGGGCCTGAAAACAGGCTGAGGGCTTGAGAAAATGGCTGCAAGAAATCCCGAAGAGGTTACAAACCAGCCCAAACCAGGGCTGGCGGGTCCCCAGACCACAAAAATGAAGTAATATGAGTCCCGTGGCCACATTACCCACCCTCCAGTGGAGAGCATCCTCCAGGTTCCTACTCACCCCCCTGGTCAAAACCCCAAGCCCGCTGCATCCTGGGGAGTCCCAGGATTTCCCAAGAAGTCTGGGGAGATGGCTTGTCTTCAACCTTCACTCTTCTGCTTTAACAGCTTGGTTTCTGGGCAGAGACGTTTCCCTGCTTGTTTGGGCAGAATCTGGGAAATCTCATTCTGCCTTCCCACCTCACTCCCGAACTTTCTGAGGTCGCTGGGTGCAGAGAAAGGCAGGGGAATGTAGATGGCACCACGTCACCTTCCATTTCCATCCATTCATTCTTCCAGTACCTGCTAACTCTGCACCCCTGTCCTCCCCTGGTGAATCGAACCGAAAATTTCACACACACCAGCAGCAGATTGCACTGTTGTATTTAAGCTTCCTATATACCTACACTACACGGGCCATGGGAAGGGGAAGAGAAACGCTGGAAGAGCTGCCTGGCTGGGCTGACTTCTAAGCTAAGGGTGCCTACATCCGTAATGCTTTACAAGATCATCTTCCTACAGGAAAATCGGCTTCCGCAGGGGTAGCAGGGGTTGCAGGGGTCACATGGGCTGCAGGGGCCGCAGGGGCCGCAGGGGCTGCAGGGGCTGCAAGGGCTGCAGGGGCTACAGGGGTTACAGGGGTTGCAGGGAGAAGCACAAGGATAGCAGGGCGACTCGATCTTGACACAACTGCCCAGCCCGTAGGAATAGGTCACGTCCTTCTCATCCACACACGGGGGCAAGCTGAACTCTTTGCAGATGTTCATGTAGCTGTACTTCTTGGAGCCCAGGCAGTCGTACCTGTTCTCCCGCTCCGCTGACACACACACCTTTCCATCCTTCACCCGGACTTTGACCTGGTCGGGTTCAAAGCCGCACACGTTCACAGATCCCAAGATGTTACTGCTACAGCAAGAGGAGGCCAGGATTCTGTTGGTGGTTCTTCTCAGCCTGGAATTGGGCAAAAGGAAAGGGTAGAAAAAAGGCACTTAAATTTCAGCCATAGCCGGGGAAGCCATATGTCAATCTCTAGCAAACTAGGTAACAAACTGTATCAAATCAGAAGAGAGAGCCACACTGCCTACCCTCCTCTTCCCCCAGGGAAACCTCTGTAAACAACATGCAAGTGGCTGGTTTTCCATATCTTTCTACTACTGCATTTAAACCCCAGCTCCTGCTCTTAAAGAGCCTTGGGTGCGTTCTTTCTATGCTTGAGTTTCCTCCTTTGTAAGATGTGGGTATTAACAGTGCCTCCACCGTAGCGCTGCTCAGCGGCATAGAGACCGCGATGGAGTTTCTCTTGGCATTGTGCTTGGACCCTGAGCAGCTCATTTTATTATCTCATCCACGCCTTATGGTCAAGTTGCTTCTCTTCACTTCAGTTTCCCTACCTATAGAATTGAGATGCCACCAGGGTTCTTCAGAAAGTTCATGGAAAACGGAATTAAACTTTTTACTATGGTGCCAAAATCTTTTTTTAAAATTCATGTGCTTTTTTTCCCCCACAAAATCCTTTTCCACGAATTTCTTAAAGGCGTGTATGATGGTAGTTTACCTCAATGAGTTTTTAAAGTAAGCCTTCAGTTAGTAATGCATGTTATTTGCAGTGGTGCTTAGCACATAGCAAGGGTGTCGGTTTCTTCCTCCTCTCAATATTCCATAGGAAATACTAAGCATATTAAAGGCATTATTTCATTTAATCTCTCCCATAGCTCTGTGATATACAGATGTAACATCCCATGTCACCATGTAAGCTTAATTTGTACAGCTTCATTGTGGAAGACTCAAAAAATTCAAATCAGCAAAAAAAAAAAAAAAAAAAGCGGGGGGAAGGATATTAAAAATACCCATAATCTCATGAAACACTTAATATGATGGTGCTAGACTTTGAGTGAATCCAGATAGCTTTGTGTGTTTTAATGAAATCCTCTTTTGGGATAATGCCCTTGATTGCTGTTTCTCTCATGATTCTAAGGAGTGCTCAGAATCCCTGGTTCTGAAGGCCAAGTCTACTAAAGCTCCTTAACAATATCAGCAAACGGCAGGAACTCAGCTCCGCTTCCCCCTCCAGCCACAGAAACATGGGTGACCTACCACTAGCCTTTGTGGTGTGACATGCCACTAGCCTATTTTTTTAAAATATTCATTTATTTTTATTGGAGAGGCAGATATACAGAAAGGAGGAGAGACAGAGAGGAAGATCTTTTGTCTGATGGTTTACTCCTCAAGTGACCGAATCAGCTGGTGCTGCACTGATCCAAAGCCAGGAGCTGTAGCTGTCCTGCAGCGATAGACTTGGTGCACGGAGCCGATAATAACACGTGTGGACCCTGACTGATGGTCAAAGCCGAAGTTTATTAGTGGCATCAGACTTTAAACACTGAGGGTCATATGGGATAAAGGAGGAAGTATTGAGCTCATCAACAAAACCCAGTAACAGTTTCTATGCTTTTGTTTGGAACTCCTTTTGTCTTGTATATTCCACCAAGTGTTCTCACACACATACTGTCCATTCAACTGTTCTTATACAAATAGTATCCAATCAGGTATACAAAAAGTAGCCATTCGGTTGTTCTCCCATGCAAATATTAGCCAATCAACTGTAATCCTGTGCTCGCTGACCTTCTAGGGTCACAATGTCCTCCTATAAGGAGCCAGGAGCTTCCTTCAGGTCTCCCACGTGGGTGTAGGAGCTAAAGGCTTTGGGCCATCCTCAACTGCTTTCCCAGGCTGCAAGCAGGGAGCTGGATGGGAAGTGGAGCTGCCTGGATTAGAACCGACAGCCATATGGGATCCTGGTGCGCTCAGGCGAGGACTTTAACCACACGCCTGGCCCGTCACTAGGCTTTTGTGGTATGACATGCCAATAGCCTTTTGTATGTGTGGGGTTTTTTTGTTTTGTTTTGTTTGAGATTTATTTTATTCATTTGAAAGCTGAATTACAGAGACACAGAATGACAGAGAGAGAATCATCCATCTGTTGGTTCACTCATCAGGCCAACACCAAGAGCTGGGAGCTCCTTCTGTGTTTTCCATGTGAGTACAAAGGCCCAAGGACTTTTTATCTTCCTCTGCTACTTTCCCAGGAGCAGTGGCAGGAAGCTGGATCAGAGGTAGAACAGCTGAGACTTGAGTCAGTGCCTATATGGGATGCCAGCATTAAGGTAGTGACTTAATGTACCGGGCCACAAGCTGGCCCCAAGGGCTGTCTTTCTTACTCAAGGGATGACAGGATTTCCTGGACCATACTACAGAAGCAAGCAGGAGAATAAGCATTCTTTCTGCTGTGAGGACTCACAAAGATGCCGGGAACCAGCCCAGACACAGCCACATCCTCAGCCTGTACTAGAGCGGCCAAGCCAAGGCGGGACACCCCAAGCAGAGATGCTCTCACAGGCATCTCCTTGGTGTGCGTGTGAGATGAAGGGTGAACTTCTGTTCAGTTCAGAGCTTTGCACATGAGGTGAGAAGCATGAAATCCTCTACTGAAGGTCAGGCTGGGCCTCAAGGATGGGTTCCAGGACTCTAAGCAGGATCGTCAGGACCCCCGGTGACTCTGCCATGGTGACTCTGCAAGCCAGAGCTGTCATGCCCCATCCCTGTGGGAGCTGCCTCCATAAGCCCAGATTCACTGACAGCTCCACCTCCTGTCAGCAGCTGGAGTCCCAAGGAACAAGTTCATGTGTGTTACTTCTCAGGTTCCTCCCTTCTACTTTCTTGCCATGATCCATCCATACAGGAATCTCAAATCACTTGAAAACATTGTGGCCAGGTCACGCCTCTTCCTCCTCTTGCTTCTAGGTCAGTGGTGGGCAGCTAGGATGCACGGGTTTACAGAAAAACTGCAGGAGCCATATTTTATACATCAGATGAGGTGCTGAACTTGAACGTGACTCTTGCCTGCAGATGTACTGTTCACCCTGTGTAGGAGTTCCCCTGGATCTCTGGGTAAAGGAAGCTTGGTGACAAAGTTTAGCCTTGGGAAACCGAGGGAAATATGCCCACCTGGTTCTTTGCAGAAGCTTAGTAAGAAAGCCAGGGGAAGACTAGCAGTCGGTGGATACCTGTGTCTGCCATGCTGGGTGGCCACTCGTCCCCCTGTGTATTGGGATGTCACTGCCCACAGCTGTGACAAGTGATCCATCCAGCCATCTCCACAAAACTGAATCCATCCCACCTTGTGATGAGCAGAGGAGAGGCCATGAACGCCGCGTCTTCCCGGGAGCAAAGGGAGGCTGTATCTCCTGAATTGAGGTCTGTTTCAAAGACCTGTTTAAATTCAACGCCTTGTTTGCAATACCTCCTCTTCTTTTTCTTCTCCCCCTTGCCTTCTTTTCCTGCCTTTTTTCTGTTTTCCAGACAGCAGGTAGCACACTCAGGTGCCCCTGACTCCATGGCAGAACTCCTCGAATGGCAGGTGGCAGAGTCCTACGCCCAGTGTTTCAGATATAGCAGAGAAGTGAAAGAAACAAGAGTACTGACTTGAGTGCCTACTAAGGAAGATGCAGCCAAGGACCAATGTCCTACCATATCTGCTCTGACGAAACACATCCATCCATCAGTCAAGTCACTCAGGAATGCTCAAGAGGTGTAACGGGGCTGGTAAGACATTGTTGACCCAGGCTTCTGAGCACCCAGAGACACAACAGATACACTTTCACCCTGGAAACTGGTATTTTTCCCAGGCAACTACTGATCTGCAAGTCCTGTTTTCCCATTGAGTACTGGACTTCCAGGCCAGATCAGCCTGACATTTGAAAGGCTATGTCCTGACAAACCAGGTTCCTGGCATCCCTGCAAGGGCTGGGAAGGCATGCAAATGGAAAACCTGCAGTAAGGTTTCACACCAAGGATGGTGTGAAAAAAAAAAAGAGTCAACGTGATATTTCTGAATCAGTTTAGTCATGGATCAGAAAGTAGCTTACAGACCAGAAGAAAAAGAACTATTTCCCAGGAAGGGGGAAAAAAAAAAAAAGAGAAAGAAATTCAGAATTGGACTCCTCCAGGCTGAGACTGGGATTAGAGTTTACTATTTCTACCCAGTCAGGAAAACTGGATCTTAAGGCTTGTAGGGGGCACGAAGCCCTTCAGGACAGTGACATGTCAAGCTGTCAGCAGCAGAGCATTGGAACGTTGCAAGGTGTCACAAATGGGGAGAAGACAGGCTGGGTGAGAGAAGGGAGGGCAAATGTAGGTCTTCCTCAAATGGATACGAAGTTATCAGTTTAGAGATCTAGAAGTTAATGTGAAGCCATCACCACCCTCATATATTGCCATTGGCAAAGGGGGAAAAAATGATCAATTAAGTCCCAGACGCCGTCCAGGAAAGTGGCACAAACCAAAGCAAGCCTTCTCTCTTGGGTAAGTCACATGGCTGAGAATTAAGCGGGAAGTGGCAAGAAGAAAGGGCTGCCTGGAGGAGGCGAGGCACACACAAGGCAAACACCAGAACACATTTGTGCTCTTTTTTTTTTTTTTTAACATTTTATTCATTTATTTTGCAAGTCAGAATTACAGAGAGGAGAGATAGATACAAAGATCTTCGATCTGCTGGTTCACTCCCCAGATGACTGCAATAGCCAGGGCTGAGCCAGGCAAAACCCAGGAACTTTGAGTCTCCTACATGGCTGGAGTGGACCGAAGCTCTTGACCATCCTCTGTTGCTTCTTGGCGCATCAGCAGAGAATTCGATGGAAAGTTGAATAGCTAGGGTTTGAATTGGCATCCATATGGGATGCTGGCGTGGCAACTGCGACTTTACCTGCTGTGCCAGAGCGCCAGCCCCAGACAGCATTCTTACCTGCAGAGTCTGGGAACAGGTAGCAGCCCAAAGAGAGGCTGAACAAACCTGGATCCAAGGTTTCCAGTATCCCAAGGTATGGGGAGAGTGGACACAGACCTGCCCACAGAAGCTCTGAATTTTTCAAATATTTTTTAGAAAATGTTTATTTATTTGAAAGGCAGTATTAACAGAGACAGATCTTTCTTCCACTGGTTCACTCCCCAAGTGGCCACATGGCCAGGGCTGGGCCCAACCAAAAATGGGAGCCTAGAACTCTGGGTCTCCTGTATGGGTAGCAAGGTCCCAGATACTTTTGAGTCATCTTTCACTGCTTTCCCAAACTCCTTAGCAGGGATCTGGATGGGAAGTGGAGCAGTCAAGGCTTAAACTATGGTTCATATGAGCTGCCAGCATTGCAGGCGGCAGCTTAACCTGTTGCACCACAATGCTGGTCTCAGAATCAAATACTAAGAGTGCCAATAATTTAACTTAACATTCAAAGTAGTAAAAATAAATCGTGACTCAAAGAGTAGGTAGATGATGTTATAGGCAATAACCCCATCCATCCCAGGTCCTTTCCTGACCTTTGGTGACTGATGGCCCAAGCAGTAACTGTCTCATTGCCCTTTCCAAATGGGATATCACAGTCACAGTTGTCAAGGACTATCTCCACCCATCCACCCATTCATTCATTCACCCACTCATCCATCTACCCACTCATTCATCCCCCGACCCATCCATTCACCCACCCGCCCGCTCACCACCCACCCACCCACCCTCTTACCCACCCTCTTACCCACCCATTCACCCTCTTACCCACCCATTCATCCACTCATTCATCCCCCACCCAGTCATTAATTCATTAATTCATGAATCCCCCCACCCAGTCATTCATCCACCCAGTCATTATTCATCCACCCACCCACCCATTCATCCACCCATGCACCCACCCACCCATTCATTCATTCATTCATCCCCCCACCCATCCATTCATCCACATCCATCTCTTTACTTGACCACCCACTCAGCAACACACCTGTCCATCCATCAATCATTTCTATCTAATCCATCCCCTAAATCTGTCATACAGCTATCATTTACCACTATCCATCCATCCATCTTCTATTCTTCTATCTATACATATATATTTTAAAAATAATAGCATATTGAGGGACTGACATGGTTCCCTAGCGTCTATAGTCCTCGCCATATGGGTGCCAGTTCTAATCTTAGTGACCCCGCTTCCTATCCAGCTTCTTGCTTGTGGCCTGGGAAAGTAGCTGAGTATGGGCCAAGGCCTTGGGACCCTACACCTATGTGTGGGAGACTCGAAAGAGGCTCCTGGCTCCTGGCTTTGGATCAGTGCAGTTCTAGCCATAGCAGTCACTTGGGGAGTGAATCATTGGACAGATCTTTCTCTCTGTATATCTGACTTTCCAATAAAAGTTAAAATAAATCTTTAAAAAATAATGGTAGCATATTGAACGCACTTTTTTCTACACCTTGGTTTTCTTCTCACCTAAGATACCAATATATAAAATGCTTCATTAATCCTTTAGACATTTGTATATTATCCCAGTGTATGGATGGACTGTAATCTATTTAAGCAAAGCTCTCATTTCCATCAGTAGCAACAGATTAAATGCTGTATGCAGAAAATTAGGAAAGGAAAGCTTTCTCCCACATAAAAAGTCATCAAACCAAAAAAAGTTAAAGTGACTTTTTCAAATCATCCAATTCAACCGAAACTCTTTAGAAGTCTTTTCTGAAAGCTGCGTTTCTGCAGCTTATTCACATAGCCTTCACTAGGGCTGGAGGAAAGGGATGCAAAACCTTCCCGACTTAATGTGAAGTCTTTGGAGTTGGGAGATGGGAGAAAAAGCCTAGGAAATGTTTCCATTGTTTAATTTGCTCCCCTGCTTGAAGCAATATTAAGGATTTGATCCACCATGATTACTTCTGCGGTCATTTCTGAGTTCAGAAGCACTCGAATTGCTTCATTCATAACCTGAAAAGAATGTTTAGTTGATGGCTTTTTTAATGACACCCCTCATTTCTGCTGATCATTTGCCACCTCATGGATTAAGCTGACACACCCACCATTAAGCCACCAATACCCTTGCCAACTGACATTATTACATTATTTGAGACTTTTAAAATACCTTCCCTGCCCCTATTCACTCCCCTTAATTCGTTCCTAAGCCACCAAAGTTCTTATTTTGAGCCCTTATTATCTATACTCAAAGTATAGATTGCCACCTTCCCTCCTTCTTTCAATTGATAAGGCTAATCCATCAACTAGAAAAACTTAAAAAAATTTGGTTTACTTGGCAAGCTCTCTCTTTTCATCCTCTATGGCTCGAATCGCTTTCCTCTCCAGACTCCTGAGAGATGGTCGGAGACAGTAGAGCTTGTAATCACACAGGCAGCAGGGGTAGATGTCGCAGAGGCCACAGGAGCGCGACCGCTTCGAGTAGCACAGGCAGTACGGGTACGGGTGCAAGTCACAGCAGCAATAAGGATGCATGTACAAGTCGCACAGGCATCGTGTGCTGAGTTCGTCAATGCATCTCAGTTGCCTGAGTTCTCTGTCCACCTTCTTTATGTCCCTTCTAACACTGTCCAAAAGACAACTCAGTGCAGCCATTACAGTCACACCTTATTGTTCTGGGAGTACCTTTGGAAATGGCACTCGGGGGGAAAAAATTGTTCTAAGCTCTTCTCAGGAGTTTCCTTTAAAAATAAATGAGGCCCGTGTGATTCACTTACTTTAAGGCTTGTGGCCTGTGACCTCACCGCCCTCTAGGGATGTCATAATCTTCTGGTTGCCATGTGAACAGTACACAGTCACAGTGATGCCTGGCAGAGGCCCTCCTCAGGGTTACACAGCTACCCCAGAACCACACTCATGTGGACATTTCATTCCTTTTGGTGGTTGAGTGGTTCTTCCAGGCAATCACTACTGCCTGGGTTCATGTTTAATATCTTTGAACATGACACCAAGCCATGGCTGCACAACTGTTTGTTAATGTTGATGAGGGCCATGGCAAGAGTTGCTTGGCCCCTATTTCTGTGTCCCTTAGCTCTTGTCCTTTTTACTCTATAATTTATTTGAGGCTCCAGGCAGGTAGAATATTGAGTTTTTCTTCAAAGTCAGCCCTTAACCTTTCTACTAAGTCAGCCCTTGGCCTTCCAATTCCCAAGACTCTGAGTCCTGCGCATTCTTCATTAGCAGGGGTCCTAGTTATCCTAGAACATTCTCTTATCCACTGGGGGGAGGGAGAGTCTTGCTGTTATTTTCCCATCTCTCCATCCTCACAATCTTATCTTTGATGGCTACCTCGCCTATTCCTGATCATTCCACTAAGCCTCCGGATGGCTCATACCTGACTGATGGTTTTTAATACTGTCACAGTGACTGCCTACAGCTTCAAGAAGCTAACTTCCCTAAGCTCCTCCTTCAGCCAGTTTCCTGCACTCTCAGTTGGACCAACATGCCAGCCCTCAGGCTCCACTTCTCGGCTCACTGTACTGTAACCCACTTCGTCCTTTCCCACCACTTGCTTGCTGTTCAGTTCTCAAATCCCCTTTTCACACATTAGGGCATCTGGTCTAGAGGACAAGCAGTTAGTTGAATGTGACACAGGAGAGAGGGACCAGGGCCAGAGCTGAGGAAACTAGTCAGCCAAACCAATAAATTTAAACTTGATGTTTAGCCCTGTGAAGAATCATTGCTTTTCCTCTCTGTTGCGGGAAGTGGAAGGGTAAATGAGCTAGCTACACTGAAGGTGAACTGCAATGAGGCAACAGGAGTTGGGGCTTCTGCTGACAGCTGTCCAGGCTGGGGCTCACAGCCTGGGGATGGCAAGGAGGAAGCTGGAGGGACTGCCTTCCCCCATACTCATTCAGGCCCCATCACCTTGTACCAGAGTACTGGTCGAAGGGAACCCTGTTAGCTCCCAAGCTTTCCCCACTCTGCCCACCTCAAACTTTTCCAAGTCTTTTCCTGTTTTCTTTAAAAAAAAAAAAAAAAGGACCCAAATTCTTCCAATAGAGCCTCCCCTCATTATTACAGCAACTCGTGACACCTCAGGCATAGCAACCTTCCTGGAAGGCCACATATTTCATGGTCTCTCCTTGTTCCTTCCCTCTCATTTAAGGGCTTATATCACACTGTTCTACCTACTGCGAATCCTAACTTCCCTCCCGCTGCATCTGATCTGCTTAATTCCTAAGATACTCTTTAGAATCTCTTGTTGTATGGCCTCGAACAGCCTTCTCTGGCCCCCAAACTGACACCCTCAAGCCTCCTACATGCTTCTTCCGTGCACTCTTTGTTTCTCCAGCTAGACTTGAAGCCATGAGGATAAGGTCCATGTCTACCCTGACTCACCCTCAGATACCCAACACAGTGCCTGGCACACAGCAGGTGACTTCAGTTAATTCACACAAATCAGTGAACAGAACAAGGGTAAAAGGATCAGAAATGACTTCCAAGGGCTCAGTGGAAGACTTGTGGTGCCACTGGGACGAAAAGACACTGCGAGGAGGGGCAGTGTGTGGGATCTGGAATGGGAGGTGACACCTTCAAAGCGAGGAGTGTGGAGAAGCCCATCATCCAACTGGGAGTGGGCGTTAGATGGAAATGAGGGAGTTCCGGGTCATTAGGATCCTGAAAGTGGACACATTCCTTCAGAATGAAAGAGGAGGTTGACTCTTGAAAAATAACTGGAAATGAAGAAAGGGGCTTATGAAAGTCTCATGGGAGGAGAGACAGAGAGTTAAGAATCCCTATGGCGGAGTCCCTCTTCCAGGCTGAGGCCACAGCAGGCATCCCCCGTGCCTCTGCGGTCCCCACACCTGACCTCCTGTGAAGCCCCCTTCCACGCAGGTGAAGTGCGCTAGTAAAGAAAGCCAAGAGTCGCTGGCACACTAGAAATGAGGGACTCAGAAAGCAAATTTGAATGACACACTGTCATGGACAGAGGCCAGTGTCTTTCTAGGAGGAGTCCACCCAATTCTCCAAGGGGTGACCATGTTCAAAGGAGCAGCTTATGCTCTCCTGAGCCGTGCAGTTAGCCAATGATCGCGTTCTGCTGTTAGTTCCCCTCCAATTCCATCCCTGAGCAAATGTCAGCAAAGGTTGAGACAGGCAAGCCCTGCGTTTCAGACTGCTAAATACACAGGTCTGGGAGCTTAAATACACACATCTGTATTTCCATGGCACATTATGAAGATGGTGAGAGCTGTATTTCAACTACGCTTCTTCCCTTGCCCCATCTCCCCAGTGAGCTCATGCTTTATTAGCAAGTCAAGTGATTGAATAAAGTGGCTCCTTTAAGAACAGAGATGTGATCTGTTTGTATCAGGCAATATTGAAATTATCAAAAACCGTGAAAATTCGTAAGACTAATTGGATAGGGGCAGGTGGTGTGACACATCAGGTTAAGCCACCACCTGTGACACTGTCACGCCATGTGAACACCAGTTCCAGTCCTGGCTGCTCCACTTCTGATCCAGCTCCCTGCTAATAAGTCTGAAGAAGCAGCAGCAAATGATCCAAGTTCTGGGGCCCCTGCATCCACGTGAGAGATCCAGATGGATCTTGGCTTTGGCCTGGTCCAGCCCTTTCCATTTTAGCCATTTGGGGAGTGAACCAACCAGTGGATGGAAGAGTCCTCTTTCTTTTCAGCTTTACCTTTCAAATAAATCTTTTTTGTTTGTTTGTTTAAAGCAAAGATACTGTTCATGCAGCTATTGGGTCAACGGTTAGTGCTTAAATATTAAAATTAAACATACAGTGTGTTCTCAACTCTGTTATACAATGAGTCCACACAAGGCAAATACCCTGCAAAAATGAACTGCAGTTACCCAAGTAGTTGAGTTTTTAGCCTGGGGTTTCAAAGGATGTTTTGGACCAATCGGGGTGGCCCTGACAGAGGTCGGTTCCAGGGGCGGAGTCCAGCACAATGCCTAGTAGAACTAGAGAGGGCTCCAGCTGTGAGAACCCCAAAGCTGCTGGGCCAGGGCAGCCCAGGCTGGTGAGAGCTCCACCCCCAATACAGTGTGTTCTGGATGCTGGACAAAACTCTGTGGGACTCAATGTTAGAAGCAGGTGTTTTTGACTCAACAGGGACACAGCTGAACAAGTTTGCCTTGAGCTGCAGATGAAGCTAAGGACTTTCAAATGAATGCCCAACTGAGTTAAGACATTGGGACTCTGTGGAATTAAGAAATTTCTGCCAGCCAGGGTATAAATGATATGATTTGCCTCCCCAAACTCCTGCAGCTTTTTCAACTATCTGCTTGGTTTCCCAGGCATATTAGCAGGGAGCTGGATTAGACATGTGGCAGACAAGCCTAGAACTGGTGCCCCCGTGGGATACCAGAGTCACAAGATCATGGTTTCACATTGTGCCACATTGTCTTCATTTAAACTGTTGGTAATGGATTTAAGGGTGAAATTTGATCCAAAGATAGGGTGGGTTTGGGCCTGTAGGGAGTCTTGAGGTCAGTGGGGTATGCCCTCAGAGAGGGGTTCCTGGGAGGTTTGAGTATTTTTTTATTGGTAGTTTGATCTGGTTTTTCTCTCCTACCTAGTTCACACAGCATAAGCAGGCCAACTTCAGACCCTGCACTAGGGTTGCTCAATCCCACAACCTCAAAACCAACCTCAAATCGTAAGCTGAAATAAGCCTCTTTCCCCAAGAAATTGCTCTCAAGTGATTCAAATTAACAAGAAATTTAGTATCCAGAAGTAGGATTGTGGCTATCAGCTAAGCCTAAATAGAGGGAAGTTTTAGAAACCTGCTTGCTAGGAAAGTTTGGAAAAGAATAGAGCAAGCTTAACATGTCATCTGAGAGTTTGGGCCACTTGCTGGAGACAAGGATGTTGGTGGGGATGTGGGCGGTTTAGGCCATACTTAGGGGACCTCAGATGGGGGCCACACAGGGAATGGGTTGAAGACCACATGTGTGGCACGGAGCTAAGGAGCCTTGGCTGTAGCATGTCCCTGTCTGGAGGGCTTGTGGGACACTGAACTGGCAGTTGGTGGAGACAGCAGCCATGTGTCTATGGCCACACATGGCATGCTTCACAGTGAGAATCATGGGCTGAAGGGGACAGAGCAGAAAAACTTGGAAAACTGGCAACTTGGCCAGAGAAGGAATGAGAGTGTGGACTGGGGATAGGAGATTGGCATTGAGGAGTTCAGGCAAAAGGCTATTAGGAGTTCATGAGAAAAGAGGATGGCAGAAAGACCCTGAAGGTTTCCCAAAGATCTTAGCAGCCCAAACTTCAAAGACTCCTGTGAGGCAAAGTCATCTCCAGAACGGGGCCAACAAGGTTACATGACTTGATAGACAGGGACTTGAGAGTTAAGACCCCAGTCTGTCTCCAGACCCTGGGGCTTAAAGGGAACAGGATTCAGGTTCCCCCAGCCACAAGCAGGGGCCTTGATGGGAAATGGAGCAGCTGAGACATGACTGGTGCCCAAATGGGATCCTGGCACATGCAAGAAGAGGATTTAGCCACTAGGCTATCACACCAGGCCTCCTCCCAACGTTTTTTGTCTGCGCCACAATGCCAGCTTTAAAGGTTTTTATCCCTTTAAAGAAAAGCCCTCAAAGGAGACAGCAGCCTGTGCC